TGGTAAGAGTGGGTAGACGTTAAGTATTTTGAATTGTAACTTGGACATAATTAATTTTGAGTTGTGGAGACTATATTTTGTAACATTTTTTCTGAAAAGTGTGACCTATTTTGTTTGATTCAGCATGAATTTATTTTGTTGGACTCAAATGACAAACTCTTTGTTTCTAATAGCAACTCTTTGTTTCTAAAATCTTGAGTTCTTTTTTTCTTTAGCTGACACCACTTCCATACATGGTTCAGGGCTCAGCTGGAGATTTGAGTAGAATTTATACGCCAAATCTGGGGCTCCCTTTGGCTCTTCCCTGTCCAGGATTCTGTCCTTATTTTCCAGTGGCTGTGGTTTGCCCCAGATTCTGCTTTCTAAAACTTAAGTCAAAAAACAAAAACAAAAAAAAAACCTGTGGGCTTCCTGTTTGGTTTTGTCTCCCCCACAAGATTTGCTTGCTCTCAGGCGTAAGCCCTGAAAATAGCACCTCACCCTGTGTCATTTTCACCTTCTTGTATTTTAAAACTACCTTAACTAACTCTTAAGTGTACGGTTCATTAGTGTTAAGCACATTCACATTACTGAACAGCAGATCTCCAGACCTTTTTCAATTTGTGAAACATAAACTCTATAACCATTGAATAACAACTCCCCGTCTCCTCTCCTCCGGCCCCTCGTAACCGCCAAAAAGCTTTCATAGAAACTTACTGTTTCTATGAATTTGACTATTTTAGATACCTTATATAAATGGAATCACACAGTATCCATTTTCTTTTGTGACAGATTTATTTCACTAAGTATTAGGTGCTCCAGGTTTATCAATGTGATAGCATGTGACAGGATTGTCTTCCTTTATAAGGCTGAATAATATTCCATTGTGTGTATGTACCATATCTATCTATCCATGCACCCACCGATGGACATTTGGGTTGCTTCCACCTCTCGGCTGTTGTGAATAGTGCTGTTATGAACATAGGCCTGCAAATCATTCTTATCTTTTAGGCGTCAACTCTCTCTTTAATAGTCTTGCTTTGGTAATTCCCCTCTTGTTTTCTTATTTCTTCTGTTTGTTTGTTTTGTCCAGGGTTTACAGTCATTATCTGTTGGGGGGTTGAGTCCAATGGGAGCTCACATAGCTATACTGGAATTGGAGTTGTGGGTGAAATTGGATTTGAACAAGGATTGAGCTATTATCCTATTTATAAAAGCACAATGAAACAACTATTCAAAGAAAAATGGAAACAAAGAGATGGCATATACAGCAGGCATATACAAACGAAAAGAAAGTTGGAGTGCCATTATTATCAGATAAAGAAGAATTCAAGGCCAAAAGATTAACTAGCTAAGGGAGGTATTATGTAATGAAAAATGGTAAAATCCATGAAGAATATATTATAGTCGTGAATAGTAGTATGAATGTATCATACTACATGGCAGTCAAATGCATAATTCACAAACTCCTAGAAATACACTGAGAACTTGTTTAAAAACAACACCTTTTAATAGACACTTACATTGTGCTTATTATGAGTCAGGCACTACTTTAAGCACCACACAAATATAATCATCAAACTTAATTTAATAGATAATGTGTAGGAAATATGTATATATACTCATATAAAATAGATATTAATAGAATGTATTTTTCTTTTATACTTATTAAACTGTTTCTAAAACTGTTATGCACTTAGTCACAAAGAAAACCTTCATAAATTTCAAAATAGTATGATTTTATAGACTATATTCTTATCCCTAATGCAGAATTACAGTCTGAAAGAGAAATATCATAAAAACTTTTAAGAAATAAATATACACCATTTCAAATAACCCTGCATAGAAGAGAAAAATAAAACGTAAATTGCAAATTATCTAGTAATAAACAAGAGATACTTTCATGCCCAAACCCCAATATACATGTAAGGCCATATACAGAGGAAAACTGATAACTTTAAATACTCTTATAATTTAAAAAGAAAGGTTAAAAACTTAGTAAGATAAATATTTAACTTAAAAAATTAGGAAAAAGGAAAACAGCATTTACAAGTAAGCAGTATGAACCAATAAAAAGAAAAGCCCAAATCAATTAAATACAAAAGACAGAACGTGTGTATCTATGCACGTTTATGTGTGTGTGTGTGATGTATTGCTCAACGATGAAGCTGTGTTCTGAGAAGTGCATTGCCAGGTGATTCCATCATCCTGTGAACATCACAGAGTGCACTTACACAAGCCTAGATGGTATAGCTTACTATTATATACACCTAGGCTAGATGGTATAGTCTATTGCTACTAGGCTACAAGCCTGTACAGCAAGTTACTGTACTGAATACTACAGGCAACTGTAACACAATGGTATTTGTGTATATAAACATAGCAAAGTTACGGTAAAAATATGGAATTATAATCTTATGGGAGCACTGTGTGTCATTGCAGTACATGACTCTGTGTGTGCGTGTATAATTTACATAGAAATGTAAATATATATTCAAAAAATAGATATAGCTAATGTGTATATATTCAAATTATATATATATAAAGTTTGAACAGACAAATGAAATAGATAAAACCTTCCACTATTATTGGGGACACTTTCGGTTGTGCCTAGATCAATCTCAGTTATGATTACAGAGGGCAAGATCTAATTAAATATTAGTAAACTATATTCAACAGTGAGTTAAAGATAATATACCATCATCAAAGCAGAATTTATTTTATCATCATAATTCATTATGTGAACTGACTAATGGGGAAAAACCATATGACTGCACCCAAAAATACCAAGAAGGTATTTGATACAACTCATCAGATATTCCTAGTTAAAATAAGATGGATTAAAATATACGTAGAAGGAAACTACTTAAATATAAAAAAAATTATCCAAAGGCAATTGTAGGTATCATAATGAACCATGTGATATTGAAGCATCTATTAAAATTAGAAGCAAGAACCATATAGGGCCCATATGAAGAACATAATTTAATTTTATTCTGTATGACACTAACAAATACTGAAGAAACAAACCTATAATATTTCCGGATAGGATGACTTAACGATAAGAAATGAAAAAATTTTAAATTAATGAAAGCATTTAGTGCCATTTTAATCCAAATCCTATTTTTTAAGAACTTTTGGAACTAGGAAAAAAAAATCTTAAAATTTATTTGGAATAATAAATATCTTAGAAGAGCCAAGAAAAGCTCGAAAAAGAAGACTTTGTGCAGCAACTTCCTGAATACTAAAATTTATGCTAAAAGCTACAGTGATAAAAGCAGTATGTTGGCATGGGAGCTGATAAATATATCCAGGGATATATTTAAGTATTTATATATAGAATAGTGTAGAAACAGGTCCATTTATGTATATCTTAACACATGACAAAAATATCTTAATGGGAAATAATGGTTTAAATGTAGTTATAAGCATAATTTGGCATCTATCTGGAAGAAAATAAATTTAGACCTCTACTTTATATCACATGCAAAATTAAATTCCAGATAGATTAAAGCTCTAGATATTAATAACCAATACAAAATAATTGAAATATATTTTAGAGAATAAAAGTTAGATAAATTTGTCCATACAAAAGGCTAAAAACTAATAACACTCCCAAATTTATAAAAAATTATAGGCTTGAAATGAACAATTGTAACATGTAACAAATGGCTAAAATTTCTATTAAATCAAGAACTTTTAAAAATTGATAATAAAAGAACACAAGTAAAAAATGGGCAAACATATAAAAGGTAATTATCTGAACAGGAAAAGATGAAGTAGCTAAACATTCATAAAAAATGTGCCTTTCCTTTCCGGTAATCAGGAAAATGTAAATGAAGACAAAATGAAATTCTGCCTTGTCCTCAACATATTGATAAAGATTAGAAAGAGCAGTGATCTGTCCTGGTAGGACGACAGGGAGGGGACATTCATGCACCACTGCAGGGATGTGAATGGCTGTCACGTTTTTGAAAAGTAACCTAATAAAAATAACTTCACCTTTTTATTCAGCTTTGTCTAGTGTTATTTGTAGAGGGACAACTACATAAACATTCTGATCATCTGTCGATTGGGAAATGTTTTAATAAATCATATCTTTAATATTAAGCAGATGCTAAAAAGAACGTGTTAGAACCGTATGAATTAACCTGGATGAATGCTCATGACATATGAAGCTAAAAAATGAAGTTGTGCATAGTGTGTTCCCATTTCCACTAACAAAAAAAACCAAAAATAAAAAATAACAACCACTCATGCCTGTAATCCTGGCACTGTGGGAGGCTGAGACGGGCAAGAGTAGCCTGAGCAAGAGCGAGACCCTGTCTCTACTAAAAATAGAAATGAGCTGGGTAACTAAAAAAATACATATATAGAAAAAATTAGCCGGGCATGGTGGCACATGCCTGTAGTCCCAGCTACTCAGGAGGCTGAGGCAGAAGGATTGCTGGAGCCCAGGAGTTTGAGGTTGCTGTGAGCTAGGCTGACGCCACGGCACTCTAGCCTGGGTGACAGAGTGAGACTCTGTCTCAAAACAAACAAACAAACAAACAAACAAACAAACAAACAAACACTAAACAACCCTCCAAAATAGTCTTTATGTATTAGGGTAGAGTTAGGTACATACCACATTTTTAATATTGATTATCATAGGAGGGCGGGACTGGAGAGTGTGCGTGGCTTAATTTGTTCTCTTGAGCTTGCAATGCCTCTGTAATAAAAATAACCTGATATTTTAAAAGGCTGGGACCTACTCCGTAAGTTAAAAGAGCATTAAGTAGGAGTTGTAGACCTAGCCCTGCCCCTGACTTGCAATGTGACATTTTCTGCCTTTCTTGTCTCTAAAGTGTGGGTGGTAATGACTGTCCTACCTACTTAGGTTACAGTGTTGTTGTGAAGATAAAATGTAATTTGAATAGGTTCTTGAGGAAAGTTCTGAATTTGGTTTTATTCAAAGACATTGAAATGCAAGCTATTATCCTCAAGAAAATTCTCCAACATGCTCAATTTATATGACACAGGTGGAAAAGTCGCCCGAGGAAGCATCTTCCCTTCCCAATGGTGATGGAGCAGGAGAGGAAGAGAGCACCACAGAGGTAAGGGCTGGGATCTTTTTTTTTTTTTTTTTTTTTTGAGACAGAGTCTCTCTTTGTTGTCCAGGCTAGAGTGAGTGCCATGGCGTCAGCCTAGCTCACAGCAATCTCAAACTCCTGACTCCTGGGCTCGAGTGATCCTCCTGCCTCAGCCTCCCGAGTAGCTGGGACTACAGGCATGCGCCACCATGCCCAGCTAATTTTTTCTATATATATCAGTTGGCCAATTAATTTCTTTCTATTTATAGTAGAGACGGGGTTTCACCCTTGCTCAGGCTGGTTTTGAACTCCTGACCTCGAGCAATCCGCCCACCTCGGCCTCCCAAGAGCTAGGATTACAGGCGTGAGCCACAGCGCCCGGCCGGATCTTTTTTTTTTTAAAGACAGGGTCTCACTCTCTTGCCCAGGCTGGAGTGCAGTGGCCTGGTCATAGCTCACTGCAGCCTCCAACTCCTGGGCTCGAGTGATTCTCCTGCCTCAGCCTCCCAGGTAGCTGGGACTACAGGTGTGCACCAACCACCATGCCTGGCTAATTTTTCTATTTTTGTAGCAACGGGGTCCTGGTACATTGCCCAGGCTTGTCTTGAACTCTCACCTTGGCCTCCCAAAGCGCTGGGATTGCAGGTGTGAGCCACTGTACCTTCCCGTGCTGGCATTTTGAACTGTCTTCCTCCATACCTGTTTCTTTAGAATGTCCATTTGGTCCTAATCTTTCTCTCTCTGTCTACTTGTCTGTCTCCCCACCTATCCATCCATGCCTCCCTCCCTCTGTGCATTTCTACCTTATCTAATTTTCAGTCTCTAAAATTCTAAAGCCTTTCTTCATACAAGCAATGGAAAACAACACTGTGTAAATATCGACTTCTTTGATGTTCTCTTCGTAAACCTTAAATGGGTGAATGGAGACTCCTTGCTCAAGCAGTGTGTTACTCCACAGGGTAGATCAGATCTATTCACTAACCCTGTAGATCCCATCGGCATTTTTGGAGTTTGGCTCTATGCTCTAGTATCTAAGTGAACTAATAAATGGCAGGTCTGTGTTTGCTTCATTTATGTGCTATGTCCCTAGATAAGAAAGCCCCATCGTGGGGGCCTGGTTTCTCCTCGGGCGCTAATCTAAGGTGAGTGGCATCTTGGGTTTCCTTTCTGACCAGGGCACAGAGAAGGGTGGAGACAGCGGAGAGAATGAGGCACAGAAAGCGGATGGGGAAGATGCCGGCAACCTCCCTGGACCCCAGAAGGTGAGTGTTTGCTGTTTCACGGTGTTGTCCTTGGATTCAGCTCCGCTGCACACTCACTGGGCTTCTGCCGCTGGGCCGTGGGCACGCAGCAGTGAGGAAGGGAGGGGCTGGGGGTTCAGGCAGGGCGGAGGCAGCTAGTCCTCCTGCACCTGTTAACCCTGCGGTCCAGGTGCGTAGAGGGCTAACGGGAGGCCAGGGGAAGGACCCTGAGCCCAGGCTGCAGGCAGCCAGCTAGATGGGCTTTCACAATTTGTCGTGGTGTTGCTATGGTTAGCCTAGGTGCATGTTCTCTACCAAACAAGGGGCCAAACAGCTTGGCCACGACTAAGGACCAACTCCTAGCACAGGCCTGCCCCAGAGCCCTGCCTAGCAGAGAAACAGAGCTAGGAGGGGGCTGTGCATCTGCGGGAAGACAACAGGAACTGGAGCATGAAAAGGGGGTCTTGGGGAGGGAAACCGACACTCGATTCAAGTCCAATCAGGGAAACAGCAGATCCCAGTGGAGTTACATGACTAAGTCTAAAGGAGTTCCCATTTCGTGGGCAACGGGATAAGGTTGGGGTGGGGGAGGGGGACTGTGGTTCTGTAAGCACCAGATAATGGGGGACCAGATGGGCCACTTATTCGAGGAGTTCTGGAAATGTGATGGGAAGCCAGACACAGGGAGGCCTTGGCTGCAGAGGGAGCCTGGAGGGGCCAGTCGGGGTGGGTGCGGGCGTCCGGCCGAGCCTCCCTATAGCACAGTTGCAGTGGACTTCTCCACTCGGCCGGTTGCAGCGCACCCTAGGTGTGGACGGGCTTGTGTGCAATCAGAAAAGCGGGTCCGATCTCTGTGTTTTTTGAACACTGATTTTCAAAGTACTGGACCCATGCTAGTAGTTTCATCTGGATGTTACACTTAGATAAATCTAAGACTTTAACCACTCTGGCTCTGTCGAAAACCGTCTTGGGGCGATTCTGTGGATGTGTCCTTTTTTGCTCCTCCTGGCTCATACCGTGTTTCCCCGAAAACAAGACAGGGTCTTATATTTATTTTTCCTCAAGAAGACACCTAGGGCTTATTTTCAGGGGATGTGTTATTTTTTTTTAAGTACCGGTACAACCATCTACATTGATTCAAGTATAGTTAAGTCGTCTTCTTCTGGAACATCATCATAACTCTCCAAACCCCGAATTCCATCCTGAATTTCTTGCGACTCTGTTTCCTTTAGAACCATTGGCCCCAATCTCTCATGTCGAGCACTAGAGCTCTCATGGGGCAGAGGAGAAGGGCTGCTGTCTTCTTTCCCACTCTGCGACGACACGCATGGGTTGTGCAGATGCGCTGCGTAGCCACGCCCGTCACTAGGGCTTATTTTTGGGGTAGGTCTTACTTTAGGGGAAACACCGTAGCTAGACACCAGGGCACCCTGAGCTTTCCCCCTTAGCTGGATGTGAAGCTTAGAACATCAGCGGGCCTACATTTGGTTCCGAGTTTCGCGGTCAGGGGACATTTGCTTCCTTTACTTCTCTAACTGTCTCCCTTCCGGCTTCATGCCCCATCTCGAGGGTGGCAAGACATTCAGACCAGGTGGGGTGTGAGACCCTCTCCTTCCAGGGGTCTTCACGGCCATCCTGGAGCCATCAGTGGTGACCAGGCAGGACCCAGCTCTGGTTCTGTGGCCAAGGTGGCCTTTCTGCTGCCTGTCCCCTGGCGAGGGGCAGGCCCTCTGCTCTGGCTGGACACGTACCTGCCCCTCGAAGTGGCGGCGGGCCCTCTGACTGCAGGTGCTGCCGCCCCCGGGCAGAGTGCCCAGCTGACCCCCGAAATGCCCCAGCGGCCCCCGGCTCGGCTTCTGCGTGCGAGCAGGGCCTGGCGTGCCCCTCCTGGAAGCCCCGTCTCTCCTCAGTCTGGCCGCTCAGTCCTGCCCGCTCCCGGCCCTGAGCCCCGAGCTCTTTTGTTTTCGGGGCGCACCTGCTTCATTGCCTCTGCTGGCCCAGGGGTTTGCAAATCAAGTCCCATAGTTTCCTCCCTCGGGCTGGGGAGCCCGATGGGTGGAGTGTGGGAGAGGAAACAACTCGAACTCCCCCTCCCAAGCTCAGTGTAGTAGGAGGGACAAAACAGAGATTCATGTCCTGGCATTCAGCTGCACTTGTTAGGAGAATGAATAAAAAACATTTCGTTCTGAAATAATTATAGACTCACAGATAGTCGCACAGACATCCCGTCTGGCCGTAGTACAGCAGCAAAACCAGGAGTGTGACTTGGTTGGTGTATTTCTGTTAACTAAACCACAGACCATTCCCAGTTTTCACTGTTTTTTAAAATCTGGATTCATATTTGTGTTAAAAACAATTTTAAGGTGTGCAATGGTAAACAACAAGCACAAACAGAAACCCACCCTCGGGCGGCTGGCAGTGTTCAGCTGAGTGAGGAGCCGGGTAAGTGACCAGTCGGTGCTCACCTGGTCTCTGCTGTTGCACGTGCAGCCTCAGTGCACACTCGTGAGCGCTCAGACCATTTGCATTTAATGTTGAATATTTACCTAAGTGTTTCACATTGATTAAAAAACAGAAACGGAAACAGAAACCGTTATCTCCTTTAATGGTATGGACGTCCCCTGACCACCTCCCCAGCCTAGCTCACAGCAACCTTAAACTCCCAGGCTCAAGTGATCCTCCTGCTTCAGCCTCCTGAGTAGCTGGGACTACAAGTGTGTGCCACCACGCCCGGCTAATTTTTCTATCTTAATATTTTCTGTTTTGATTGCCTGGCTATTTTCTTTTTAGTAGGGACAGGGTCTTGCTCTTGCTGAGGCTGGTCTCGAACTCCTGAGCTCAAGCGATCTGCTGCCTTGGCCTCCCTGAGTGCTGCTGGAATTGCAGGTGTCAGCCACCATGCCCAGCTGCCTTGAGGTTCTTAAACATGTATATTCCCCACTTGATAACAGACTGGGGCAGCGTTTGGGAGGCCAGGGAGGCGAACACTGATGAGACCATTACTTCGTGCCTGGGAAGATCTTACCTGCAACTTCAGGAAACAGGGGACCTGGTGGGCCCTGGTCTGGCAACCCATGGGAGGGTGAGGGGCTGAGGAGGAGAGGGGAGGTTTGCAAGGGGGAAAGGAGGACGGCAGAGGGTCATCTCTGTTATGGTCCGGAGTGCGAGAAAAGACCACCTTCGAAACCGAATTGGGTCAAATTGTGAGTCTTTGTTAGCTGGCCAGGACTACCCCCTGCACCTGCTACGAGGCAGCTTTTACAGGGAGTAGCAATGAGCCAGGAAAAGTCAGCTCTTTTTAAAGGCAAAAACCACACTCTGAAAAAATTATCCAATTACTCAAGCACAGTTACAGAAGCCAAAGGAAGCCTCAGTCTCACCAAGATACATTCTTATCTTGTCTCAGCAGGATTGGGGAGGGGTCAGGAACTTTCCATAGCCTTGAGGTGGGTTTCCTGGACATTCGACCCTGGACTAGCTGCTATTTTGTCTTGTGGCTGACTGTGTGTAATCCGCCGCCCTCCCCCTTATTTCTAAGCTTAAGCATTCTAGCAGAAACAAGATGGCAGGCTCGGAGTCAGATAAGGGTCGGCTGAAAGTTTTCCACTCTCCTAAGCGAGGAAGCATAATACAGAAGCTGATGGCTGGTTATTGGCTGCCTGTGGTCCCCAGGCCCTCACAGTCTCAGCTTCTGGGCACTCTCCAGGGGAGGAATTGCAGACCAGGGACATCTCAAGCACTTTATAAGATGCTAGAAACATTGCAGCTTGTTCATGTTTGTGTTTGGTTGTGCTCAAGGTGAAATTATATTACTAGCAAGGTAAAATGATTTTAAGTTGTGTGCTTTGCAAACGCAGTTATCCTATCCGAGAGTCTGTAAGCCCTTGGCTTGATGGATGATGTGATTATGGTCTGTAAATCACCCCTCCTGGCTTTCTCCAACAGCAGGCTTGAGGGGCGTGCCTTTTCCAAGAGGCGGACGTCGGTATGGGTTTGCGAGAGGCGTCTGCAGGTCCAGGCTGGGTCCCTGGCGTGTCTGAAGATTGAGAGAACCCTGCTCCTGTCCTCTCAGCCCTTGTCACACTGAGGCCAGCTGGCCTCACGGGTCTCCCACACCGGCCACCTGTCCCCACCGACCACTGCCTGGCACCACCACTGACACTTGTCCTTAGTTCTGGCCACGTGCCACGTCAGCAGCCTGGCCAAGTTCCCAGTGAAAGTAGCTGCGGTGGAAGGTTCTAAGACTTCCCACTTCCCCTTTCTAGCTTTCTCAGAAGAACAAAAAGGTGAAACTACTTTAAGGTGGACGGTTTCTCAAATTAACGGTTCACACCCTGTCCTAAGGTCTTGCCAGCTCTTGGCTTAATTATCTCTGAAGGAATGCTTTTGTCAATATAATTATTTGCCAACCGTAAAAATCGATTCAAACATTTTATGTAGATGACTTTTAAGGATAGGCCCACTTCTGATAATTTGTAATTCTGTGAGCTGAGATTGAAAGCTTAAGTTTTGTTCCCTTCAATTAAAATGTTCCACCTCATCCCGAGAGGGATTTGAAGCAGAATAGCGTTCCATAAATGCGTTCATTCAAGATTTTATGGACAGATTGAGCACTACCATGTGCCAGGCACAATTCCAGGGACTGAGGAGGAAGCAACAAAAAATGACAAAGTCCCCGCTCCCTGGAGCTCATGTCCTGGCAGAGACAGGTGACGCAAAGTCCTCCAGAGCTCGCCTGACCTTCCGAGGCTAAGCGTGTCTGTAAATTCTCTGAGCACTTGCTTTCTCTACTTACCTTTCAAGAAATTAAGGTCAATTCGAATATTGATAAAGAGTGCTAGTTAGACCCCTCCGCAATTGTTGGGGGCTCACCTGTAAAAGCTGAGACTTATATCCCGTTAGACGTCCTGTGGCCCTCCAGGCTAGCTGTCAGGCTGGCCCCATTTTGTTAATAGCATGTGTCTGGTTGGTTCATTTGTTTCAGCTGAATACAGTCAATAAAAAACAACTTGATGTGGAAGAATGTAAAACTTGACATAATCAATAATTCTGTGCTGCATATGGTGAATCTTAATGTGATCCCACGTGGCTAAGAAGAAAGTTAACGTTCTTTGAGATGCAAAGAGTCAACGGCAGATTGCACGCGTTCACAAATGCAATCATCTAACACGCCTTTGTTGAGCTGACACCTTGGTTCCGGACAGTGGCTGGGCCCGGGAGATCCCCAAATGAGACACGGGCCATGCCCCCAAGCACACGGGCTAGTTAGGGCGACAGACAAGCAAGTGATGGTTATGGGAGCAAATAAGAGGGTCCCCTAACTCAACTCTGTGGGTTCGGAAAGTCTCCCTTGGAACTATCACTGTGCGCTGTGGCCGACGTCGCATGCGACTGGGGATGGCCGAAGTACAGGGTGCTGAGGGCTGAGGCCGCAGGGGAAGGAGGGCCAGCCGGCAGGTCTCAGCCATTCCAAGGAGTATAGATCTGTCTCGGGAAGATGGAACTTCCTAAACATGAGGGTAGCGCGGTGAGGTTTGTTGCTGCTTGGCTACAGTGTCGAGCAGGTGGGAGAGAGGAAGACCAGCAGAGGTGACGATCGCTCCTCAGGAGCTCATTTCCGCAACCCAGGTGAGCAGAGCTGGCAGTCATGGCAGGGGAGGGACGAGATGTGGCAGGACCGGGCAGCATTAAAGGGGCACAGTCAACAAACACACCACTGTGGAAGCAACTCCTGGATTCTGCAACAAGTGCCGGACTCTGTTTCCTTGGACATTATTCCGTGTTTCCCCGAAAATAAGACAGGGTCTTATATTTATTTTTCCTCAAGAAGACACCCTAGGGCTTATTTTCAGGGGATGTGTTATTTTCCCTTCAAAGCCTCAGCTTGCAGCACGCACAGGATGGCCGGGACCCGACAGGGGGAGCCGACCTTGTAGGTGGGGCTGCCCGCACCTTTCCGGTCACCTCTGGGATAGTAGCTGTCACGTTGGGGCAGATGAGAAGGGCTGCTCGTCCTCTTTCCCACTCTGCGACTACATGCATGGGTTGTGCTGCGCAGCCACGCCCAGCACTAGGGCTGATTTTCGGGGTAGGGCTTGTTTGTATTACGCAAATGCTTAGAAACCCTGCTAGGGCTTACTTCATGGGTAGGTCTTATTTTCAGGGAAACACGGTTTTAGCACTAAAGCTCGGCGTGTCACTTTGGAGTTTAATGCAAAGGTTAGCGCTGAGAAAATCCTCCTGGCCTGACTCGGACCTGGCCGGCTCTGCCGGCTTTCACGTCCAGGGCCAGCCTCAGCAATCCCGGGCTGTTGTTCTGGAACAGGCCGAGCTGGGAGGCGGAAGTGTGTGGGCTTCTCTGTGACTTGCCTTCTGTGCTGACTTGGGAGGCAGCCGGTGGAGTAGGGAGGATCGGGAGACGCAGAGGGGTCCCAGTGCTGCCGATGACTTGTCCTGTGACCTTCAGCAGGCGACGTTGCTCCGTGGCCTCAGTGTCCTCATCTGCCCAAAGAAGGGTGAGAAGATACATGTGACTCAGGGTCGCTTTCAACACCCCTGCTCCCTGGGTCCCTGAGCTCGCTGCCTAAGTTGTGGGGCACTAGGAAATTTTAGGGACCCCTCTTAAGAAGCACATCTCTCTACTTAATTAAGGCGATGGTAGCATCTCTGGCTCCGGAGAGGTTTATAATTTTATCACTGCGGCCCCCGAGCCATTTTGGGGAGGGATGGAAATGCTTTTATTTCCTTCTTGGAGTTGTATTTTTAGGAGATGTATATGTAACCTGGTCCTCTTGCTCGGATCTGGTTTGGCAGCTTGCCGAAGAGAGACCTGTTTGAGCTTTTGGTGACCCTACCCACACGTACCTTGCAAGTGTTTTTCTTTACCCATAAATCAGTGTTTAAACACTATGTGATTCAGAAAATTTATCAGTTTTTTTTCAGATAGAGAAAAAGTTTTTTGGCCTACTTTTATTAATTGGTTCAAAGGTGAAGTAAAGGCATACTTATAAGGGCATAAAAGCAGAAAAGACATTTTTGTTCAAGGTTTTTAATTGCTTGCATATACAGTCTGAATTTTACTAGATAGCACTACAGATCTGTGGTGTGTTTTGGAAACAGAGACAGGATTGTATGTATTACTAAGCAATATTACTAATTAATTATATCTTGAGTAACTAATTAGTGATAATGATGAGTGATGGGGAAAATGTCTTTAATCTCCTAATATTCCAAGAGCTTGAAATATAATGCACGAAACAGGCCAGGCACGATGGCTCATGCCTGTATTCTTCTGGTTTCGGGAGGCTGAGGGCAGGGGGACTGCTTGAGCTCAGGAGTCCAAGACCAGCATGAGTAAGACCTCATCTCTACTAAAAACAGAAAAATAAGCTGGGTGTTGTGGCATGTGCTTGTAGTCCCAGCTACTCGGGAGGCTGAGGTGGGAGGATCGCTTGAGCCCAGGAGTTTGAGGTTGCTGTGAGCTAGGCTGATGCCACGGCACTCTGGCCAGGGTGACAGAGCAAGACTCTGTATTAAAAAAAAAAAAAAAAAAGCCTGAAATAAGTAGAGATCACCCAGTTATCATATCTTTGCTATTTACATATTTTATGGATAAATTAATGTGCTGTTTTTTGATTAGCTTGCATTTTATTATAGTGTGCTTAATTTTCAGATTCAATGTAAAATGTACGTGAATTCATGTTTCTTTCTTTAATTTCGATTTATGAACCGAAGGAAGAAGAGGGAGAGACAGCAACAGAAGAGGTACGGTGTGCCATCTTTAATAGTTTTGCTTAATCGGCTTGATTAAAACAACTTTTCAGCTTTAGCCACAGTGCCCTTGTTCTTCATAAGACGGGGGCGCTGATGCGGCCCACACACCCAGAAAAGCCTCCTTCGACCTGCTGAGAAGGGATGGAAGTCGGGGCAAGTCTGTCCAGGGGAGGTGGGTAGAGAAGCAGGGCTTGGCCGGGACCTCTGGGCCTCTGGGCTGCAGGCGTGTTCTGCGGTTTCTCACTGACCGCAGGCCAGGCTGGGCCAGGGCAGTCGGTGGGAGATTCCTTCTCCTGCCTGCTTTTATGTTTTTGAACATTTTTGGACTGATCACTTTAAAATGCTAACGAGAGAACTAAAGAAAAAGTTGAGAGCACAAGGCTAGGGAGAATAATTTACCGAAAGTCTCATGTATTGTCTAGGCGTTTCAACACAGGGTCATCAACATCAGAGTCCCAAATGTCAAAAGAAATCCCTCCCCCCCCCAAAAAAAAACTCTTGTTAATTTCTGAAATTACAAAATAATTCATGATATTTATGGAAAATTTAGAAAATACAGATAAAAGAAAAAATTGAAAATAGCTTACAAACCCCATTACCCAGAGATGACCACTAGCTATACACACACACATGCACATGTAATTATCAAATCTTGGTGAATACTCTTTTGTAATCTACTATTTTTCATGTAATGTATCTGTACATTTGGGATTTAAATTTAGTACATTTACTACTCTTTGGGAGAGTAGTAAATATAAATCTGTGTCTTTATTTTTAATGCTAACATATCAAACTAATCCCTATTCTTAGACCTAAAGGTTATTTCTAACTTATTCTACATCATGATTTTTCATTATTTACAAGTGATGTCTTTCCAATAATTATTTCTTTTGTTTCTCTCTTGCTAGGCAAGCTTCTACTCTTGAAAATCCTATTTTTTACATATAAAAACAGAACAAAAACATATTATTAACTTGGAATTCATTCCAGATTTTATGTACAGGCTGCTGATAACTTTGGCTTGAAAGAAATCAGCTTGTTACAACAAAATAGAAGCAGCTCATGCATTTAAAAGCTCATCCTTTCTGACAAAATTCCATTTGCTGAGATTCTTTTTGTATTTTATTCTCCTAACTATCTACCTTCTGAATTTGTAAAGGTTATCTGATGAGACTAGTTTGTTAATATGAGTAAAGAGTACGATTCTTAAGAGAAATCGTGATAGATTAGAAGGAATGTGCTATTCTGCAGCACGATTCCAGATCACGAAGCCTGTGTTTTGAAGGACGATGACTTTGTGTGTTTGTGTGTGTGTGTGTCTATGTGGTGTAGTGTACGTGTGTGTGGTGTGGTGTGGTGTGGTGTGGTGTGTGTGTGTGTGTGTATGTGGCTCTCAACTCTAGTCTGGGATTTTATATTCTTTTTCTCATTTCTGTATCTCTGGCCCTTACGCTTCCTGATAACAATGCCATTTTGGTTAAAACCAGACGGAAGAAATAACCGAGGAGGGAGAAGGAGGGGAAGACGAGGAAGAGGAAGCTGAAGAAGAGGAGCCAGGAGAGGAAGGAGAAGATTCTTAGGCCTTTCCCATGCTTAATTTCTTCCATGTTTCCTCCAGGTAGCTACAGAATTCCGGGGCTGAAGCCCCTGCTTGTTACAGGGTGCGAGCTGCGTCACGTTTACCTGGGAACAGAGAAAGAGCATCCCAGGCACAGCCACCTGTCTCCCTTCCAGGATGGGGTCTGTGCATCTTGCCGGCGGCCATGCCCCTTTCCAGAGCTGCAGGGCTGCCGACCTTCAGAGGGCCCAGTCCTTGGGCTCCAGGGCATGGAGGGCGATAGGATTTCTAGAAAAGGTGTACCTTCGAGGCAAGGAAGAGTTTTGTTTTGCTTCCTCCTGTTGCTCTGTGTAACTTGCATTTAAGGGAAGGCACAGCACGAGATCTCTTATCAGCATTCTATTATCCAGACTCCTCTACCGAGCACTTGCACGTTCGGAGGGGACTGAAAATTGATGTTCAGAATGATGCCAATAAATTATAACCTTAAAAAAAAAATCACAAAGTTGGCTCTTGATTCATGCAAGAAAATTATTGCCGCCAGAGATTTAGTCATAAGTGCTCGATATTACATTTTCATTTATTAAATATTAATCAGAACAGTCCTGTGGAAACACTGGACTATGGTGGAGTCGCTTTAGGTATCTTTCACAAGTAAGCTTTTGCTGCTTGTAGCAAAAATAATTGCTACTCTTAACAGCTGGGTAAGTGCCACATAATTCATACTTATTAAGTGTTAAAGAGATGATAGGACCTGATGATAATGGAGGGTATGCTTAAATATTGTAAGGCTTATAAATAAGACAGGATGTACGAAAACACCTGAAGACCATTCAGTGGTATAAAAGTATCTGGCTTTACCAGATATTTGGCACGTGTCTGTGTGTATGTTGCGTTATTATCAATATGGTCTTGCAACTTTTTTTGTTTGAGGTGGAGTTTATTCTCTAGGGCAGTGATGCTCACAGTTTTGCTCTAGGGCTATAAGAGTTTTTTTTTAAAAATTTAAATTAAAACAAGTTTTGTTAGTGCCTCATTGTCCATATGATGCCTCCACTGAAAAATGTCAGACAGATCTTTTGGCTGTTTCTCTCGGGCAGCCAGGGAAGGTGATAATGAGGGAATACGCACTCACGAGCACACAGTTAAGGTCTACGATAACACTTGGTGTCTGTCCAGATGGGGCAGAAGGAAGGAGAAGGAAGAAGGATCCCTGGTGCTCTGTAGATATTGGCTAACAAATAGCAATGCTCTATGCACCAAAGCCCAATTTGAATAGTAGGGACCTCCCTTCTTAATATGCTAATATAAAAAAATATAATAAAAAGCTAATATAAAAATTGCTTAATATATTTTTCGGGCATCTTGGAGCTGGTGAGAGTTGTCATCGCAGTTTGTTATTAGACCATAAAGGTTTTATCATGCACTTGCTTAAATTACAAAGCGAGTCTAGCCCATGATTTGATGTCTTCCCGGTGATTTTGTTCATGCTCTGGACACAGAAAACTCCACTTTAAGGACTATTGCTTGTCATTTTGGTCATGATTCCATTTCTAAGGAGTGGGTTGGGACCCATTTTTTTTGAAGAAAATAAAACTGCCCAGGCTACTTTTAAGAAATTCTACCTGCAGAAGGGCAGGAAATGAAAATATGCTGATATTTATCCTCATGCCAGAAACAAAACACATCAAAACCCACAGTAGAAGACTCATAAGTACTGTTTAAGTCTGTGTCTTTTCACTCTGCTTGGAAAGTGCTTTAAAAATTATGCAATTTTAATGTGATAATTATAAAAAAGTATTCAATGTGAAATGGCACAGTTGAGAGAGAATCCTTAATGTGGACAGACGGCTCTTTATATGCCAATTCCAAAATAAAAAATAAAAAAATAAAAAGCAAAGTACAGCTGTGCCTAGCACACTCTGCCTGTTTCTCTGATGGTTCTAGTTTGAATCCAGTCCATAATAGTCTTCTGCGAGACCAAAATGCCTGACAGTGAAGGAGTGAACCAGACAGCCCCTAAATCCCACCTCTGACCCCTGGAGAGATTCAATAACCTTCTTTAAAATGCTAACTGGAGATGCAACCAGGTATTCTGCAAACCATTTGGCTTCCAAAGACAAACCCGTCTCCTAGCTCATGGACAGTCTGTGCATTTTATTTGAGAAGATGATTTTAGGTAGAACATGGCAATGAATAGAACTATGGAAGAATTCTCATTTCCCATGTTTGGAATTGGAGTCAGAATCCAAATTGATGGTTAAGTCCCAGGACAAATAATGTACCATAGGAGATGCTGGATTTTATGTCCCCGAAGGTTGCCACTTAGTGCTGTCCTCTAGTCTAGCCAAGGACCGTTGAGATTTTCTCCTCCAGGACTCAGCTGTAAACTCAGCCCCTCTACTTTCCATGAAAACGCAGTGGGAAATTATAATTGAGATGTTGACCCCCTTATGGTGTGTGATACACGTCAGTACAGAGAAAGTATATAGACCTGCTTGGTTTTCCACGAGAAAAATATATTTTCCTTTCCTTGCATGGGGGAACCTATCAAATGACAACTAGTGGTTTATAGAATAAAGGGCAACACTTTCCTTGTTATTTAAACAGTGAAGATTGAGGTAAACATTCTCTATCTCTCTTTAACAGTCTTTCCCTAACATTTCCCCTTTCTTCTAGAAAACCCAAGCCGTGAAGCAACATTCAAATGTCTCCCCACAAACCAAACTCCACGAAACACTTTGGCCTGAAGCTAGCACAGCTCTCTCAGTGCACTTGGGGTTCACCGAGGACTTGCTCTGTCTGACATGGTTAGATGTCCATGGATGTAGCTCCTTCATCGTAGCAACGTGAAATTAAATGTGAACGTAGCATGTGCATACTTCCATGTGCCTGACACTGACATTCTTAGCCTTTGCTAAGTTTTTCTTTTTTTTTTTTTTGCTTTGCATGACTAGACCTTCTTATTAATACTCCGAAAAACTCCATGTCAAGGTCTCTTTGTGATACAGTGAAAGTATTTCTTTGTATGTGCCTTATGCTACTTGTCTCAGAGTTAGCTTTGAAAATGAAGTGCTTTCCAGAGAACAGTCATATAAATAAAGATTAACAGAAAAAGATCTCGTCCCAAGGAGCGTGATCTCGTTATTCACAGTCTCTGCTCGTGCGCGCCTGCCCTCGGTCTGTCTGTTGCCAAGTCTGCACTTTGCCGTCTGCGTCGGGATGGATGTTTCCCGTCGCGCTGATTTTCTGGTCCACACTCTCACATCGCACTGATGGTCTGGTCGCGTCGTATTTCGTGCCTCCCGCGAGGCTGTGCACATCGTCGTGGGAGCCTTCCCTGCCTGCGACCCCACCGTCCAGGCGTGCAGGGACGATGGGGACGTCTGCAGCCCAGTGCTCTTTCCTCGTCTCTGAGCTGAAGGGAGTGGCTGCTCTCTTCCTCCCGTGCCGACTCATGCGTAGCCATGGCTGCGGAGCCGGGGACTGCGATTTCGCCACCCGATGGCCGGGAGCGTGTGTTCACCAACGGCTGGTCCAGCCCCGATGACGTGCACGCCAGGTAGGTTGTTGCTCTGCCCACCTGCCCCACCTCAGCTCGCCGCAGGTATCTTTTCTTTCCTGTGAGATTTTGCACGCGTGCTCTTCCCTGTGTTTCTCCTGCAGTATGGTCTCCCCGCCCTGCCGTGTCCCTCTTTTATAATGATTATGGCAATTCAACCTGGAGCGGCCACCAACTTTTCCCCTCTTGCGCCTGCCTGTTTGTGTCGTTTGGGAATGTGTCCTATGGTTGCGGAAGTCGTGTGGCTCTCGTGAACTCTAGAAAGCAGCTCTTTGCTTGTTACCCTTGTAACAAAAAGAGGCATTTTGAATAGAATTAGGTTATTTTGTTCCAAATCATTGAACTTTAAAAACATTTCTCTCTTTGCTAAAAATAAGGTAAAAGAGTATATAGTAAAATGGAAATTTGTGTAATTAAAAATTAATTTTGACTTTTGATTTCATTGCATTAAGTTATGGCCTATCTAAAATGCCTGCATAATTTTTTTTTTTTTGAGACAGAGTCTCGCTTTGTTGCCCAGGCTAGAGTGAGTGCCGTGGCGTCAGCCTAGCTCACAGCAACCTCAAACTCCTGGGTTCAAGCAATCTTCCTGCCTCAGCCTCCTGAGTAACTGGGACTACTGGCATGTGCCACCATGCCCAGCTAACTTTTTCTATATATTTTTTGTTGGCCAATTCATTTCTTTCTATTTTTAATAGAGACGGGGTCTCGCTCTTGCTCAGGCTGGTTTCCAACTCCTGACCTTGAGCAATCCTCCCACCTCGGCCTCCCAGAGTGCTAGGATTATAGGCATGAGCCACCCCACCTGGCCTTGCATAATTTGTTTTAACAACTCTACACACAAATAGGCCTTAAGCTTCTTGCTGTTGCTTAGAGCTGACTTTTTAGCTCTTTCCTAATAGAATATGATGGAGATAGATTATGCTAGGTGCCAATTTCCCTTGTATTTCTTATATTTTAAAAAATGAAAATAAATATTTGTGCTAATAAACACAGATAACAAACCAGACCACCTATTTAAATAGAATTTATTTATTTATTTTCAGCATATAATGGGGATACCAATGTTAAGGTTATGTATATTGCCCTTGCCCCCCCTCTGCCCTCGAGTCAGAGCTTCAAGCGTGTCCATCCCCCAGTTGGTGTGCATCACACTCATTATGTGTGTATTTCTTACATTGTTTTCCTGAGGTCAGAAAATTAACGTTCTGGAAGAACATCTTTACTTTCTCCCATTTAATATTCTTTAAAGTATAATTGACATGCAAAAATCTAATGACCAATGTCACCATATAAACAGTATTGGTTTTCTTCTGGTTTCAGCTCCACCTGTCACTCCAGCCTCCAGTGGTTAATAGATCCAGTGGTACAGTGAGGAAAATCCCAAATATGGACCAACATACAGTTAAAAAGTCCACACAGTTTTCAATATAGGAAGCTTCTAGAAATTGAGTAGCATTGTGAATATGTGAGAAAGAATAATTCAAAAGAAGAACCCCAAGTGAACAAGCAAAATCATTTTTGGGGAAAAAAAAAATAAAGAGAAAAGATCAGAAAAATGGTGATCTATGATGATCTGAAGTTTAGGAGGTTCAGAGTTTGATTTGTTAGTTATAAAGGAGGCCTGAACATTCGAGGTAATTATTTTTTATCTTTTTTTTCAGTAGAAAAACAACTAGAAAAAGGCAGAGGATGTACTTAATGCCACTATACACATAAAAACAGTTAAAATGGTAATTTTTTATGTTATATATGTTTTACCACAATTAAAAACAAAACCCTCAGCTCCCCCCCCCCAAAAAAAACCCAAAAAGGCCAGAGAGCATTTTTTTCTAGCCACTGAACAATACAGGCTCCTTCCTCAGCACTCCTTGTTTTTGGCTCCAGGGTTTAATTTCCGTTTCTTTGGATGAAAATCTTCCCTTTGGTACAAGGATAGCAGCTGTCATTGAGTTCTTAGTTTTCTCAGTTAAGTGTGAGAGGTGGAGGCAGAGAATGAAATGGGGTGCCTGGGGAGGTTCTTGGGGGATGTCTACAAATGTTTTCTTTCAGAACCGGTTCACGGTTAAACTCGAGCAAGCCCCTGGAGCCTGGCGTGAAGAGGCTCTGGCTCATTGTAATAGTGGAGTGTGACCACTGGGGGGTGACAAAAGACAAGCTTCTGTCTGTCGTTGCCCCCGAGGCCCCTGGCCACCTGTCCAAGTTTGGGTACTGTAAGTTGAAATCAGAAGGTGACAATAAAGGTATTTGTCAACCAGGTGGAGGAAAAACAAAAAAACCCCTCCACCCCAGTTGGTGAACTAATTAGTGTCTCATTTATAATGCTTTTATCCAAGATAACGTATTTTGGGCAAAATGTGCATTGATTGTTTGGATTTCACACTCTTGCATCGTACAAAAGGAGTCTAAACTCAGTGGAGGACTGACTGCATATTGACCATTTTGGTAAATATACAGCATCTTCCTTTAGTTTAGAATGGCTCTATCATTATAGAAGTATAAACAGAACTGAGATTGGAGAAGGGGACGATTATCCTACTCGGCTGCAAGACTTTGAGTCCTAATAGAACATATGTCCAGATATATGGAAATATGTTCATGATGCTAACACAGGCATGCCTTTCATAATTGTCTAGGGTCCTTGGCGTTTTTGCCGCTTTGTTTTGGAAGGACTTTCTTGGAAGTAGAAAAACCGAGTTGAGAAATCTTTAAAATTTATCAATAGTGTGTCGAGTTGTCTTCTAAACTG